AATAAATAAAAAAAATATATATATATAATATATTAATTACTATTATTTTTGTAGTTTGTCATTTGTAGTTATGTTTTTTTTTTTTCAAAATATAACAACTATAACAATAAATATTTTGGACATCAAATAAATATAAGTAGTTATATATATATATATATATAAATAAATTATTTTATTCTATAGAATTCAAAAATTAACCCCTTAATATAATTCTCGTTCCGCCACGGGTTGCATATATATATATATATATATATTAAACTATTTTTGATATATTGATAATTAAAATTATAAAGAATCCGATGCTAAATATTATTTTTCATATTGATCCTTCCAACCACCCCCGCCTATTGCTCTACCATCTTCAAAGCTTTTGCCACCGCTGCCACCATTATATTTATTATTAATAGTTGATATGAATTTTTAGTTTTGGTTGTTGGTTGTTTGCAAAAATCGATCAACCGGTGAAGTCAAGTGACGTACAACTTAATTCAGTTTGGACCTAATATCTCGAAGGTGACACGTATTAAAGAGATTCAATCTATAAGTCCAAAGGAGATGATCAATGTGTAGTGGTCCCCTCTAGAATGGCGTAGATTCTAAAATTTAGTTATAACAAACCGACTGAAGTGAGGTAACGATTGAATGATTGAATGAAAAAAAATAAATAATATGAAAAGAACAGCATGTGAGTTATGTTAAGGCAACGATTAAATGATTGAATGAAGAAAAATAAATAATATGAAAACAGCAGCGGGTGGGTAGAAGTTGTGCGATAGCTGATTAAGAAAGATGAGCTTTAGGTGGAGTCATTGATTGAGATATATAGAACAAAAGAACTTTCGAAACTAGAAAATTAGAAAATTTATGAGTACAGAACATTGAAAATTGTAACTATGTTGAGACCAACAGTTTTTCTCTATCATTTTAACCACCTACAAGACCTCATAAGCCTTCGCCACTGCCGCCACCACCACCACCACCATCGGGCACCACCTCCACTGCCATCTCCATCAACACAACTATCATTATCTTCCTCGACCAAGGATCCAACAATGGTTCAGATTGGATTAACACCAAATCTACGCTGAATTAGAATTTTATATCTTATTAAGAAATTTATGGGTTAACAGTTTAGCTCGCTACAGTTGAGTAAGTTGGATTGAGCTCGTTAACTCATAACTCATCCCACCTTAAGTTGGGGTTACTAAAATGGGAATGACACCCAAAATTTAACCCAAATAGATATTAAATTAAGATCCAAAAAAGATCTAAATATACTCAAATCTGATTCAAAGCATATATAATAAGACGATGAGACTCATAAATCTACAATACTTTGTAATTCACTCAAAACCCAAAAGGAGATCCAACATTCATCAAAATTATATATTAATATAAAAAAATTATAATAAAATCATCATGTATAAATAAATCAAAATCAATAGAATATATTTAAAATAATTGCATGGATAGAAATTATTATTTTTCATAAATAAATGAATAAATATTATTATATTAATCGAGCTGAATTTCAATCCATGTCAAATCCACCTTAAACTCGACATGGGAATTTTCAAGATCACATATATTAGTACTATTCTCGCCCAAACATATTTAACTTCGAAATTTTGATAAAATCCAATACATTAAGCTACTACGGATTGCGTATAGCACAAGAAAAAATTAAATAATATTCGATCTGATACTTAAATAATTGAGCACAATCCTATTTAAATGAGTCAGGTCCGAATCCCATCAAGTCCACATTAGACCCTGAACCCTACATGGACTGAAAAAAGTTATATAATATCCTAAGCGATACTTAGGTAAGTAAATACAAACTTATTTAAATGACTCCGAATTTGATCTAACTGAACCCATTACCATCATTTCACTCAAATCCACTAATTGGTACACTAAAGTGTATCAAATCTATTTTGACAATTTTATCGTACTAAAATTTACAATACATAAAAAATACAATACTTTTAGTATTTTTTTCGATATTATTTAAATGATATATACAGCATTTTTAATATTTTTTTTTCCACTCCTACTCCCGCATAAAGAGCAGTTGGTGCAATAGAACCACTAAGATGCATACTAAAATGTAATATTAATTTTTTGCGAAATTATAACCAAATATAAAAATTGTTACATGAAGTGATTGTCATAAGTTATTTATATTTTGGCATATTTTGGTTGAAATGTGTTTTTGCATATTTTTTTCTAATTTTTTTTTAATCCAATTACTTGATGTTGTGTATTGTCTACTTATAATGTGCTTGAAATTTTAATTTTAAAATTTGATATTTTATACTACAGAAATAATATATAATTTGTCATAAAATGGAAATAATATATTATTTTTTACAATAAGTTGTAAAATATTAAATAATATTTTAAAGAAATAATTTACAATACATTATATAACAAATAAATATAATATTCCTTATAATATAAAACGAGGCTAACACATTATTTATAGTTCATACAACATAATATATTATTATTATTATTATTAATTTCATCATAAAATATATTCATATATAACGTATATTCTAAAAATTAAACTGTTAATACATAATTTCAACTAATACAATGCATAATATATTAATTAAAATTATGTATAACTTCTATCTATAATTGTAAGTTGAGAAATCAACACTACATAAACATTTTCATTATCACAGATTATCAGTGTCAAAATGTGTTGAATTATATTTTTTAATTTATGTTAAGTTGGAAAAAAAAAAAAAAAAAAAATCTATTTATTCCTCAATTTTATTATTTTGATAATATATTATTGTTCCACTTCACATTTACTATGTTTAATTTCAAATCTTCTAAATTAGTTGTGTCTACCTTCTCTTGTCTTCTTAATTCATAATTTTTATTATGTCATATTGACATTGCTCATTCTCTATCATTTTCTTCTCTTCTTGGTTCGTATTATTTATTTAATTATTATTATTTTTTATTTTTTGTCTTTGCAAGTAGTTTCTTTCTTTGTAAACTTTTTTGTTCTCGGTGACTTTCAAAATTGTTGTTACAGCTATATATATATATATATGTATATATAACTATTTTGATATATTGATAATTAAAATTATAAAGAATTCAGTGTTAAATATTATTTTTCCATACCGTATTAATCCTTCCAACCACTGTTGCCACCATCATTTTTATGGGTAATAGTTGATATAAATTTTTAGTTTTGGTTGATGGTTGTTTGCAGAAAAATCGATTAACTGGTGACGTCAAGTGACGTACAACAGCTTAATTCAATTTGGGTCTAATATTAAGGTGACCCGTATTCAAGACATTCAACAGAGATTATCAATGTGTGGTGGTCCCCTCTTTAATGGTGTAAATTCTGAAATTAGTTGTAACCAACTGACTGAAGTGAGGTAACGATTGAATAAAGAAAAATAAATAATAGGAAAAGAACAGCAGATTGGCAGTGGTTGAGGTAACGATTAAATGATTGAATGAAGAAAAATAAATTGCATGAAAAGAACAGAAAGTGGGTAGAGGTTGAGGTAGTTGAATAAAGAAAAATAAATACTATGAAAAGAACAGCAGGTTGGTAGAGGTTGAAGTAATTGAATGAAAAAAAATAAATAGTATAAAATGAACAGCAGGTGGGTCGAGGTTAAGCTAACGATTAAATGATTAAATGAAGAAAAATAAATAATATAAAAAAAACAGCAGGTGGATAGAGGTTGAGGTAACGATTAAATAATTGAATGAAGAAAAATAAATAATATGAAAGGAACAACATATAGGTAGAGGTTGTGCAGGTAGGGAGTTGAGAATTTATAAGTACAGAACATTGAAAATTGTAATTATATTGGGACCAACAATTTTTCTCTGTGATCTCCACCACCTACAAGACCTCGGAAGCCCTCACCGCCACTTCACCTCCACCTCCGCCACTACCACCACCACCACATCAGGCCCCACATCTCCAAGATCCAATGGTTCAAATTGGATCAACACCACATCCGTACCGAATTAGAAATGTATATCTTATTAAGTAATTCATGGGTTAACGGTTTAGCTCGCTACAGTTGGATAAGTTGGATTAAGCTCGTTAACTACTAACTCATTTCACTTTAAGTTGGGGTACTAAAATGAGAATGGCATCAGGTCAGACGTAGTTAGACCTAAAATCTAATCCAAATACATATTATTAAATTAAGATCCAAAAAAGATTTAAATATATTCAAATCCGACCCAAAGCATATATGATCAGATAATAAGACTTGATAAACCTACAATACTTTGTAATTCACTCAGAACTCAAAATGAGATCCAACATTCATCAAAATTATATATTAAAATAAAATATATATATATATATATATATGATAAAATCATGTATAAATAAATCAAATTCAATAAAATCTATTTAAAATAATTGCATTGAGAATTTATCTTTTCCCTTAAATATAATGAATAAATATTATTATAGAATTCCAATCCAATCAAATTCACCTTAAACCCTAAAATCCGACTTGGAGATTTTCAAGAAAATCACATGTATTAATACTACCTTCGCCCAAACATATTTGACTTCGAAATTTTGAGACTATGGATTGTGCATTGCACAAGAAAATATTATTTAATACCCGAGTGGATTTGAATAATTGAGCCCAACACTACTTAAACGAGTCAGGGCCAAATCCAATCAAGTCCGCCTTAGACCCTAAACCGGATATCGACTCAAAAAAGTGTTGTAGATATATATATATATATATATATATCCTATTCGATACTTGCCTAATTAAACACAATCTGAATTTGGTCTACCCGAACACATTACCATCACTTAACTCAAATCCTCTAATTGGTACACTAACCTGTATCCAATCTATTTTGACAGTTCTACCGTACTTAATTAATTAAAGAATTCAAAAATGCAAGCAAATGCATCTCCATCATCAACACCGCACAAACCCGAAAACTTTCTCAAACGATCCTCTTATGGAGGTCGATGCAACTAAGTAACCTGATCTTCTTACCAAGTAAAGCAATTTCTCGATCCACATCGAGCAAATGTACGAGACAAGAATGTAATAAGTTGAATCGCAACCCATATCGAATGCGTCTCCTTTATTCAAAGGGGGGAAAAAAGTGCATAGTCGACAGATTCGCCATAAGTCCCGACTAAACTAAGCTAAACTTAGCTACGGCGAACAATCACATACCACAGTACATCCAAAAGAGAGCCCGGCGCATAGCTCTCCCTCGAAGAAGCACCACAATGCTCGTCTTCCCTGTTAAGAACACCAGAAGAACGCTCAAAACTACGTATCATAGCAAGTCGCAGGTAGCCACCAAAAAATCGAAATAAAATAATACGATATAAGAATCTTGCCTGTCTTAAAGGCGCCTTCGCGAATCCCCATTGTCCTTGGTCAAGAATTCGATACGAGATTGAAGAATGTTGATCATCGCCTGGGCTCTCATCACCTCAATCTTCAGCGTCTCCCGCTCCATGGAAACGTTCAGGATCTCGTTCTCGAGATTGTTGATGAATTTCAGGTACCCGGGAGGGACAGACTTCTCCAGGTTGGACGAGTCGAAAGAAGTGAGTGAAGTGACATGATGGTTCTCTTTCGGCTCCGGAGGTTGCAGTAAAGGAAATTCCAACAGGGTGGAGGAACAATTTTTCGTCGTCATCATTGTCGCGGGATCCAGGCTGGTAGTGGTGGAATCTTCAGATCCATTAGCATGGCTGGAGCTGGGGTCGTCATTCTTCGATCTTTTGGTCTGAGCTAATGACAGCAGGTCGGGGATGTCTTCGGATCTCTCCCTCTTGCACATAAAAGGAAGACTCTGAGACCCGATCGGACTTTCGACCCCCGGCGGGGCTATGGAGAGGGGCGGAGTGTCCTATCACAACGATAAAAAGTTATAAAATCGGGAAACATCAAGAAACACAAACTAAAAGAAGTTAAATAAAAAAAACAGATGTACTTGCGGAATTAGAAAAAACAACAATGATGTGTGAAGCAACGACAAAACAAAAGTGATCACGACATAACTCTTCGCTACGTAATGAAGTGTAATTAATGCGCCAAATACGAGATCAAATATCCGTTCCTGTTTTTCAGGAAGAATCTAGAACAAAAGGGCTAAGACGGATCTATAGAAACGGCAACACATGTAACATAACATAACTATCTGACAAATTTTCAAGTAGATTATAACCAAAACTAACAAATGGGGCCGAAACCTAAATAGGAAACCAAAAACATTACTCCAAAAAGCGTCGAACACGTGTTTTAATTTACTCAATCCTGTTTAGATTCGGTATGCAAAGCTGCGACAAGACGGAACATTTGCTCACTTCATTAATTGCAACTAGATATTCGCATCCTAACGGAATTATTACGTAACGGATAAAAGACAGTAAAACCTGATCAAGATCATTGCATTCAACTCTTGTCTCAACGCCAACAGCTCCGTCATCTTCGGCATCTCCCCCGGGAACCACAACGGACGCATCTTCATCCCATTCCTCCTCAACAAAAGGGGCGTATCGGTCCCCATTCGGTGGCCCGAGGCCACTCTTTTGGAAGATTCTACAGAGCACAAAAGCATCCTTTTTTCCGCCCTCACAACACAAAAAGGAAACCTCTTAAGATTCACGACTTTTTTTTCGCATAAAGGCTTGAAATTTTAACAAGTTAAAAGCAGCAACAAATCGACAAAAACAAAAAATACTACGGCAACACCTGTGTAACTCCAGCACTCTCCAATTCCGAATCGCAAAGGCGGTACTCATGCATTACCCAATTCGTTCTCTTGCCATCGGGAGCTCGTCCGCTGTGAAAAACAAGGGTTTTTTTCATCCCAATAGTGGCGTTCTTATGGCGCACGGGCCGGTCCTTCCCCGTCGCTTTCCAATACCCTTTTCCGGTGGCACGATTGAGCCGTGAACCGTTGCCGTACTTCCTATCCACAGGGCTGAAGAAGTACCATTCAAGATCTCGACTCTTCAGCGACGAAAAGTCTTTTCACAGCCCAGCCGAGGAACATCATCAAAGAGGAATTAGTTATCAGATAAGAACAATAACAACAACAACAAAGAGAGAATCAAACCAACATATATATAATATTCCCCACTGAGAAAAACATCAAAATCTCAACTTTGCTTCATTTCTTTTTCCCAATCATAATGCAGATGAAATCGAAAACACACAACAAATTTCTTACAGTTCAATCCACTATACGTCAATCATTCATGGAGTTCCAATTTCCAATTTTCCATGGCAGAAATCACACACCAACACATGATCAGAAAAAAATGAAGCCTAAACACAGATTAACAAGCAACAAAATCAAAACAAGCTCAAAACCGACAAGGTTTTCAAAACAAATCTGCAAAACCCTAAGAAATCAAGGATCATCAGCCAAGATAAACGCTTACAATCAAAGACAACAATCATCAACAGAAGCAGTAAAATCTGAAGGCAAAAATCAAAATTAAACCCAAGTAAAAGTTCAAAAAAGCATCCATGGATGTGGGGCGGTGGTTACCGGCAAGTTCCCAGGGCTCAGATTTGTAGACGTCGATCTCAGTAACAGCTTGAAACCTAAAAGGCTTCCCACAGGCTTTCCTCCTCAGATAGTACCTCACCAATTCCTCGTCCGTCGGGTGGAACCTGAATCCCGGAGCGAGAGATGTCGGCGGCGGCGCTCCGACCATCCCCGCCGCGATAGCAGCCGGCACCCGCTCCTGACCAGCCATCTCAACCCCAATCTCCACTCCACACTCCAATCTGCAGGCAAAATGAGGTGAAATTGAATCAACGACGGTCCACAGGGAAAATTCAAAGCATCAAAACCGAGAACGCATCGAAATCCATAGAAATAGAAAGAGGGAGAAGAAAAGGTGGGTTTGGAGGAAGATTAGACGGCAAGCAATGAAAAGGAAAGGAAGGGAGCAGAAATGGAGGAGTGTAAAAATGGGATTTGATTTATGGCGATGGGAAATGGGGATTGGGGTTTGGTGTTTTGCCCATCGGTTAAGAAAGGAAAAAAAATTGGAATTGGAGAAGCGAAGAAGAGAAGAGAAGGGGCGGAGAGTGGTGAGGTGTGGTGTGGGTGTGGGGTAAGGATGCTTGCTTGACACGGAAATCGAAAATCAATGAAGAAAGCAAACAAAAATGGTGGCAGCCTTAAGGCCGTGTTTGGATTTTCAATTTTTTTTTCTTTTTCTTTTTCTATCTTCTTAGGCTATGTCTATTTTTTTATATTGACATGTAAAATTATGTTTATTTGATTGGACACGAATTTTAAAAAAAATAATAAATAAATAAAATTAGAATCTTTCTTTTATTGTAAAACAAATAGAAAAATACTTTTTTAGGTCGGGCCAAAAAGTATACATATTTTTTTAGAATGTTCAATTACAAAGTAGTCATTTAATTAAATACCTTATTTTTTTACAAATATATTACTTTACATCGTGTTATTATTTTTATATCAAAAATTAAGATAAAAAATGTCATTACACTACTTAAGGGCAAAAATATTATTACACTATTTTTATTTATCCACTATAATTAAATTATTATTATTTCTTAAATTTCGCGCCAAAAATAAATATATATTTTTTATTTTGACGTAGGTAGTAGTATTTTTTAAAATTTGGATGACAATGAAAAAAACAAAAATAGAAATAAATTTTGATGACTAAAGCAGTATATATATATATATATTACTCCCACCCTAAGTAAATTTAGGACATATGTGTCCAGCACGGATATTAAGAAAAATAAGTATTTTATTGAAAATATGATAAAAATAAGATAGTTGAGAGTAATTTTAAAATCTTAGTTAGAAATTAAAAAAATAAGAAAAGAGAATGTAACGAAAGTAAGGTAATTAATTTGTTATAAATAAGTATTAAATAAAAGATAATAGTTAAATATTTATTTGTTGACTTTTAAAAAAAAAATAGTAATAAGATAAATTTGACTACTTATTATCTTATTACTATTTTTTTTGCATATATTTATATTTTATAGGTAATAGTATAATAAAATTGTAAAAATAATAAAAACATGTTTATAATATTGTGTAAAATGTAGGAATATATTTTACTATTATAATAAAAAGTACTTTTATATGACTTGGACGGAAGTTTCTTTAGCCATCGAACTCAATTTTTTATTATTTGGACTATGCATTTTTAAAAAAGATATATATTTTTTTTTCACAAAATATTTTATTATATATTATTTTAACATCAAATTCAAACAAAAAATTTCAAAACCAATTCAAAAGAAACATATTTATTGAATTTGTTCATTTTGTATTTTTTTTTAAGTCTTAGTATAGAATTGTGATGATAATTTAAAATATAAAATAAAATACTACAATTGCTATTATATACAATTGTATATAGTATTATATTTTTTAACGGATCAAATATGTATATTTTATATGTTAATGTGTGCATATATTATATTTTTTCAATAATATTTATAAAAAATTATTTTATTTAAAAAAAAAAATATGTGACCAAACTTTGTTTTTTTTTTTTTTCTTTTTAATGAATGTATATGTGTTATTTATATTAAGTTTGAAATTTGTATTAATAATATAAAAGATAATTTTTTTATTTAGTTATTATTTTTTTAGAAAAATAAAAAATATATATTGTATATAGTATTTATAAGAAATTGTATTATCTCCTATGCACTATGATATAGAATTTTTAAATGATATAATTAATAAATAATTAAAAAAATAATATTAATATAATATAAATAATTATAAATTAATATTTTAAATAATTAACTAATTCAATTAAAAATTTTAGAAAAATAATTAATATGATATTTTACTTAAAAATATAGATATCTAATAAATTATTTTAAAAATAAATAAATAGTACCAAAGTTTAAAAATAATGTTGTGTAAACAAAGCGCAACCTTTCATATACTAGAAATTGTGTTTTGAAAAAATAGATATAATATTAAAAAAAAATTAGATAGTCGATATAAGAGAAAATATTATTTTTTATATGTTCTAATTAATTGTCTTATTATGATAAATAATTATATTACTATAAAATTGCTTTCACTTTTTATTATTATTACATATGTAACTTTTTGGTTTTTATTATTTTCCTAGATAAATTAGTTGTTTAAAGTAAAATTTTGTATTGAAAATCACTGTATTTTTATTAGAAAAAGTTCAAAAAAAGAATACAATCATAAAAATTCAAAATAAACACTCTATTTTTTTGAGTAAAAAGTATCTTTTGTGTCAATTTTTATTTAAAAAATCACTTGATTTACTATTTTTCTAGGGAATAAGCATTCACAAACTGTGTCAGCAATCTTATTTAAAAAATACAAATAATATATAAAAATAAATAAATGAACAACACAAATGTTTGAATATTTTAAATTATTATAAAATTTGTTATTTTTAATTAAAAATAAATATTAAATATACTATTTAAAATTAAAAATAAATACTATAATATTTTATCGAAAATATATATTACCATTGGATACTATGGCTTCACTATGTTGACCTAATATTTTCAATATATAATTTCCAAAACATAAAAAATATATGTAATATTATGCAATATAGAAATATAAAAATATAAGTTAACAAAAATACAAAACAAAAATATTAATTTCTATAATATTTTCAGAATTTATCATACCCCATAAAACCAAACATCTAAAGTTATATAAATTAAACAAATCATTTCAAATTTTTTGGAAATTTAGAAAATAATAAAAATAAATAAACATTCAATGTGTTATTTTGCAGAAAAATAAATATTTTATTTAAAAAAAAATATTATTAACCAATAATATCAACCAAAAATATGTATATATATGGGTTCTATATTTGTCATAAACAACTTACTATTGTTTATAATTTGAAATGGATTAAAATTTATATAATTTCCTTTATTTCCATACAATTTTTATTATGTTTCCTGTTATGATCATTTATAAAAATATTCAATGTGTTATTTTGTGACAAAAATAAATATGTTATTTTTTAAAAAAATATTATTAACAAATAATTTAAAGACATTCATTCAGATATGTTTTGGAGAATAATTGAATATTAGAAAATTTTTGAGAATACTAAAAATTTAATATTCAATACGATGTTTTATTTAAAAAAATTGTTTAGAATGATATATTTTTTAAAAATTTATTATAAATAAATAGTACTACAAAATATGAATTCAAAATATATAGAGTTTGTTTATGTCAATTTTGGGGTTGAGATTATGAATTGTATTAATCCTAAAATGAGTGTATATACAAATATATATATATATAAATACAAAATAGATTTAATCTTTACTTAATAATAATATAAATTAATACAAAAACAACAACATGAATAATAAAAAAAAAATGTAGCAAACATCCCTTAAGCTCAATGTAGACGTAAATACCAATTTAAGTTTGTATAAGAGGAATTAATCAGAAGCGATTTGGAAGAAGAGACGATCAGTTTCATAAGCAATATATTAGCAAATAAAGTGACAACTAAACTCAATATATTTAATATGCTCATGAAAGATATTATTATGTATCATCTCCATAGCATTTTGCCCGAGGGATATTATGAAATAACTGAGGCATACTAAGATTAGTGAGCAACCGATGTGGTCATACTAGTTTTGATAAAGAGTTGGCAAGAACATAATATTCTTACCTGACATTCAATCGAAAAATTTAATTCTGTTTTTTACTGCATTAAAAGATAAAAATCACCCGTGAAGAAGTATAAACCAATTGGAACCACAAGGAGTGATGAGATGTCCTCGAAAAAGTCATGAATAGATTCACAATATGAACTGCATATGATTGACTAGCAGTCAAATAGATCAAACTCACAATAAATTGGTACAATAGTAACACACCTAACTACAAATTCTGTATTGATCCGGTCAATGACCAGCATATATTTATACATAGTACAACATATGATGTGTTATAACATATGTTATATTATAAAATAAATATATGTTGTATGATAAATATATTGAGATATATATAAATATATATTTTTTATTCCAACACGCCTAATATTTTTTGATTTGTTCATTTTGAATTTTTTTTATGTGTTAGGTATGAAATTGTGTTTGCAATTTAAAAAATAATATTTATGCTAAATTATTAATGGATAAAATATGTATATTTTACATGTTAATGTGTAAATATATTATATTTTTTAATGAAGGTGTATGTGTTATATATATTATGTATGAAAATTGTATTGATAATACAAAAAATAATATTTTTTATTTAATTGTAATTTTTGTAGAAAAATAAAATATATATTATATATAATATTTATGAAGAATTGTGCTACAAATATACTAAATAAACAAACTCATTAATAACCACTTTCCCCATCCCATGTATTATCTCCTATGCATTATAGATACAGAATTTTAAAAATTATATCAATAAAACTAATACAATACAATATAAATAATTATAAATTAATATTTAAATAATTAATTAGTGCAATTAAAATCTAAAGTGAAATAATTTGAAGGAGCATCTTTTATATGAGGTATAGAGAATTGTGTAAATAATATCAAAATAATTGATATGTATAGTATAAACTTGTGTGTATTTTTTGCAAAAAGAATGCACCCACCCCGTTCCCTATTTCTCTTACTTATTATCTTATTTTATTATTTTTTGTAGTTAATTGTTTCATTATGATAAATAATTATATCACTATAGAATTACTTTCAATTTATTATTATTGCATAAATATGTTGCCCTTTGGTTTTTATAATTTTTCAGCTAAATTAGTTGTTGAAAGTAAAATTTTGTATTGAAAATCAATATATTTTTATTAAAAATTTAAAAATATTCCAAAATAAAAAAATAAAAAAACACAATAATCACACTATATTTGCTTTAGTAAAAAGTATATTTTGTGTCAGTTTTTATTAAAAAAGTCACTTGATTTACTATTTTTCTAGGGAACCAGCGTCAACAAATTTTGTGTCAGCAGTCTTATTTAGAAAATACAAATAATAAATATATATAAATAAATGAACAACACAAATCTTTGAATATTTTATAGTATTTTAAATTTT